TAGCCTCATAATCCTCATCTGGATCCAGTGCCCCTGGAACACCATAGCTAGAAGAAAATTCAAAATTAAAGTAAAGATCATACTCTGGTAGAATGTTTCAAGTACCTTTTTAGTGGTTCTATGTGTGTTCAATTTTGGTGAGACCATCACATCCCTATTACAAGCAGGATCTTCCCACAACTAGAATATCTGTAATGTCTTCAAAGCAGGGTAGTTTCTCGATGACATCTAGCATCATTCCAGGGGCAGCAGTAAGTGTGACTACTACTACTACCACACTGGTTATGGAAACCATGTCTTAGACAGCAATCACCCTATCATCATTAGAGCATCCACATTGTTGACAGATCCTCTCGAGGCTCTAGAGCTGTGGATGGACGAGCTGGAGATCCTCACTAACTCCTCTGACTGAAGTAAAAGAGCAAATCACTCTGAAGCAGAACATGCTTTTAAAACACCACTACTAACAGCAGGCAGCTAGGTGGACAGATGCTTAGGTGTTGTATAACTAGAAAGAAAACCATCTGTTGAAGTGAAGAAAGGTGCAACTTCTCCATGAGGATTTGGTGGTAACTCGTAAGACTGTTGCGAGAGTCAGAGAAATCATCTGTAAGACCACAATGGTGCATCAAAAATTCGTAGCAGTTTCAGAGGATATGCTGTCAGAGCTGCTATTTCTAAGCCATTCCATCTTTCCTATTAATTGTATATATTTATTATATTATTTTATTTATATATATTGACTTAATTTATCTTTGTTCATTCATCTATTTTGTACCATCTCCATTACAGAGCTTGATTGCATTGTACCACCAACACTGTCTATCTTGAGCACTTTAACTTATCCACCATTTGATAGTATCTTCCCATTTTGTTCTTTGTCATCTTTTTGCTGTCTTTCCTTTCACTTTTTCTTCGAACCTAAATTTCTTTATCATTTATCCATACATGCACTCTGTCTTCACGAGTAGCTTTTTTTTTCAGTCCCTTGCATGTAAGTTGGGAATTTCTAGGCATTTAGCTTCCTTGGTGTCCCATCCAGTTCATCCTTCCTCTTTGATGGATTACCAGCATATGCAGTATACTTAACACTGTTGGTCTATGCAACCAGGTTATTGTCCTTCCCTTCCTACCATTCCTCCATTGCTGCCCTTTTTCAATAATACAAGACAAAGCAAGAGCATGTGTTTGTGGAACTAGCAAGAAAGAGAGAATATGAACAAAAATTTTTTTCTGTCTCACCACTTTAGTGTAAACCCCTATAAGCTAAAATAAAAATAAAGTTCAACTATAAAAATAAAACCTAACAATCTTAAACTAAATTAAACCTTTATCATTTAACAACCTCAAAATGTTTTAAGTCTAAATAGTGTTAAAAACCTATCCAAAATCAAATTCAAAACCACTGCAAAAATATAACTGCCTTACAGGGGAAAGCCTGGATTTTATATACCACAATACAGTAATGTAAACAAAGTCAGACTGCTCACAACACACATCATATTCACAGGATATCAAACCACCCATTGTTGAACACATAAGCAGGGAAACCCTGGGTCATTACATGAATCATCAACAGAAAAAACATTTGTCTACTGTAGGAAATCACAAATCGAGTCATAGCTATCTTTCTTGTAAGGAAACATACTTAATTATGGCTGCAAATTAACATTTTCTTAAATCAAAAATGTATTTCCAATAATTCTTACCTCCTCTCACACTTACAGCTAATACTCATCTAAGCATTGGTCTGATCTTTTCTCGTTTGCTCCAGTCATTTATACCCCACTTAATTGTCCCTTGTGATATTTGACTTGTGACACTCTCCACCTATGTCAAGGTGCCCTCTATCCTGGTAGTGTATATAAGCACCTCATTCAAATACATTATCATTTTTTCAAGACTGACTCAAACCCAATCTCTAACTCTGGCTCTTAGTGGAGAGGAAGGGTGGGAGATTGTGAATGGAAGTAAGTATTATTGGAAACACATTTTCAATTTAAGAAAATGTTAATTTCCAAAACATACTTATCTCCTCTCATAGTTACAGTAGAATCCCACATTGAGAAGGTGGAGGGACCAGTGAGGGCATTATCCACACAGAAAACATCTGCAGAGATAGAAGAGTGGCACCTTAGTGGAGGAACCACACTACATCCAGAACAGGTATGCTCTTCATCTGGAACTTAATTCATGCACTGTGGATGAAATTAGATGATTGATCATCACTATTGGCCAGGCTCCAACCAAATAGCCATGGTTTCATTACTCTGAGTCAAATTATAGGGCCATGGTCACTATATCCCCTGTTGATGGCTAAGGCAATTGGACCACAATCTCTCTCTCTCTATATATATATATATATATATATAATGAAATAGCTTCAAAACTATTATTGATCTTATTAATTACATTAGTTGTTAATAGGTGATTAAAATCAGCACTATAAAACAATAATGAACTTAACATAAGATAAGCCTTAAAAATATTTTATAAAGTATATTATAATCTCCAGTCATAACCTTGAAGTCATAATATTAAAGCTTATCTTCTATATATATACTTATGAGTGGATCCCAACTTGTAGTCATAGAGTGATGCATTCTCAGCCACCAGAATCACGATGAGAAGGTAAGAAACACCGTGGACAAACTTTCTCCTCAACCTGAAGAAGTCAGAAAGGCAACACCCCAGGATCGGAATGATGGGATTGCGTATACATTACTCAACCTGAAGAAAAAGACCTCATCCAGTCTGGTATTATGAACATTCTACCTCACTCCCAACTGTGAGGACAGGATAAATTCCACTTGCCCCCAGAATTATGGGGAGGACACAGAACAAACTGTGCTCAACCAAGGACCCAAGGTGGAACCACTCTGCATTCAAAACTACAAGGAGACAATGGACCCTACAAGTCAGTAGAACCCATGTGAAGATGATGCTAGTCTGAAGATAA